CTACATGTCCTAGGTCAGTGGTTGGCAAACTGCGGCCCCTTGAGTGTGGCTCTTCCACAAAATACCACGTGCGGGTGCACACATACAGTGCGATTGAAACTTCGTGGCCACACTCAAGGGGCCAAAGAGCCTCATGTGGCTCGCGAGCCGCAGTTTGCCGGCCACGGACCTAGACAGAAGCAAAGGAAAAACTCTGTAGTTGAAAACACAACTATAAATTTTGTGTGTGTATTCTATTATATGTAGTAGATTACTGATTACAGTCTACATTTACACATGAAGTACATGAAACAATTCATAGTAGAGTATACAAAATAGAGGTGGACAATTTAAGGGATTTAAAAAAAAACTTACGCTCGCGAGCCGCAGTTTGCCGGCCACGGACCTAGACAGAAGCAAAGGAAAAACTCTGTAGTTGAAAAGCCAACATTAAATTTTGTGTGTGTATTCTATTATATGTAGTAGATTACTGATTACAGTCTACATTTACACATGAAGTACATGAAACAATTCATAGTAGAGTATACAAAATAGAGGTGGACAATTTAAGGGATTTAAAAAAAAAACTTGACTATTATCAATTTCTATCTATATATAAAAGGCTAATATGCAAAGTGTCCCCTCAGGAGTTCGACCAGGAGACCGGGAGTTCAATCGCTTGCTGTGGTGTGCACTGATCCTTAGGGGGCGGCGTGGAATGAAGGAAGGCCCCGTCTGGCAGCCGGAAGGCCCCAATCGGCCTGGATTGCCAGCCAGGCCTAGGGACCCTACCTGTGCACACATTTCGTGTACTGGTTCTCTAGTATTATATGTTGACTTTGGAATTTAGCTCCTGCATAAGATGCAACCTCACTGTACTACATGTGTGCTCCTCATCAAAGTGAATTATTCACTAACTAGAGGCCCGGTACACAAAAATTTGTGCGATGGGGGTGGTGTCCCTCAGCCCACTTGTGCCCTCTCACAGTTAAGGACCCCTCGGGAGATAAGCAGGGCTGATCCGGGGGTTGTGGTGCTGTCCCCGGTCTCACATAGGGTAGGGCCAATCCGGGGGTTGAGGCCCTGCCCCGGGTCGCACATGGGATGCCCAGGTGGGCCGGCGGATTGCTGCTGTCCTGCCTGGCCGCCCCGGTCCGGTCGCACACGGGACCGCGCCCCCCCTCCCCTCCCCGGCCCAGGATCGCAGATAGCAGGCCATTTGGTAGATTTGCATATTAAGCTTTTATTATATAGGATTCTCACAAATAATTGTCTTCTATACAAATGGGGTCAAACATGTATTTTTCTTTGATTTGTTTTATTTTCTACTTACAATACATACTGGATTTCTGTCTAGGTCAGTGTATGTAACTCTCATTCATTCCGTTTGATGGCTGGGTTTCATTTCTTAGGATGGATGTACTATACCTATTACAGTGGTCCACTATTGGTAGACATCTGGCTACTATAAGCAATGCTCTTGTAAACATGATTATATGTATATTTCTGTGCCTATGTGTGACATGCTGATCATTAGGATTTCCAGGTCAAAGATATTTGCATTTTGATAAATTCTGCCAGATTGCCCTCCTGACTTAAGGCTATTCCATTATCTTGTAATGATAGAATACTTGTTTCCAGTGCTCTTTACCCAGTCTGGACATGATCTGTTTTATTTTTGCCTCTTTCTTGGCTAACCAATGATAACCTAATTTTATGTTTTTATTTTTATTGGTTTCAGAGAGGAAGGGAGAGGGAGAGAGATAGAAACATCAATGATGAGAGAGAATCATTGATTGGCTGCTTCCTGCATGCCCCCCACTGAGGCTCGAGCCCACAACCCAGGCATGTGCCCTTGACCAGGATCTAACTTGGCTCCATCCACTGAGCTAAACCAGCTAGGGCAAGCCGGGCTAATTTTTAAATTTATATTTTTTAGTTTCTTCATATGTATATTTGTTACTCATGTATTTTTCTAATTTGCCTATTCATCTTTGACAATTTTCCCATTGAGTTTTTTGTCTTTTTCTAGAAGATTTGATAAATTTGTTGTATAAGATTAATCCTTTGCCACTTATGTGGCTGATAATATCTTCTACCAGTCTGTCCATTGCCTTTAACTTTGCTTAAGGTATATTTTACTCTCTGAAAGTTCTGACTTTTATTGTCAGTCTTTTCTTAATGGACCTCTACATTTTATACCTTACTTCTACATTTTATAACTTCCCCATTCCCACATTATAAAGTTTCACAGCCACCTCAGAAACTTAAACAGAGAGGCAGAAAAGAGCTGTATCATTACATGTGAGGAAAGGAACATAGCATCATGTTGAGTGGTTTAGTGAGGGATAATGTTGTTCTTTCTGTACAAAGTGTTTTATGTATTTTTCCATTAGGTTATTATCTCCTTGTGTAATATCTGGATGATCAGCTTTGTGCAATTGACTTATAGGCACAAGAGATATTTCGAAAATGCATTTCAGTTCAAGAAGAATGGAAACAGTTTCACCATCTCTGTTATTGGGAGCTGATGTGGATTAATATATTCCAGCAAAACTGGATGAAGGCGTATTACTATTCAGACCTGCTTTGCAAAGAGAGCAAATGGTCCAAGGTAAAGAGCAGTGCTTTTATTAATGTCATCTATTTACTAATAAGTATACAGGACCTATTAGGACTATTTGTTCAGTAGTATGATGTCGACATGGTTTTCTCCACTGAGACCTGTCACAGGAGGAAATGTGCATTCAGTGCCTAGTGTTAATGACCTCTATTGGTCCTCAGCACTGCGTCCTTTAAGAGCCATCCAAAGAGTCCTTTTCTACAGAGGCTTTTCCTCTGGAGAGGAACTGCACTTATATTTAAAAATTATGAAATACCAATAGTTTTGATAATTTTTTGTAGAATTTCCAATGCCCTGATGACAAAGCTTTTCATAATAATCAACATTGATTCTGATCCATTTGTGAGAAGTTGGGAGGAATGAGATATTGATCTCTCGTTCATTTTGTCCATTTTCTCACCCAAGAGCACTATAGTTGTATAGTAGGAAAATGATCAGCAGTCAGTGAAAAGTGTTAATCTTATTTGGAACAGGCATCGCGAGTCATTTTCTTTTATTTCTTTGATACCTCTTAAATATTATCTCTGGAAGACCTCTAGGTCATTCCTGATTGCAAGGTAGAAGTGCCATGTTCCTGCGGATCTTCTATAACCAGGTGCTTTTTTCTCTTCTTCCAGGCAACGTATGTGTACTTGAAAGCTGCGATTTTGAGTATGCTTTCTGAGGAGGAAGTAGAAGCAACTAAAGAGAATGTGGTAACTTTATTCAGGTGAGCAATATACTACTTCTGTAACCACGGCCTCCTATGTATAGAGGAGCACACACGTACATCTTTTTTCCTTACTGCACTCCCATGCTTCACCTTCATATTTCTTTAATTGATCTACTTAATTTACTCAGGAACTCTTTAGAAATATATTTAGCTAAGAGTCAAAATGGCATCCTTTTAGCAGGAATTTTGAGAACACATTATTTTTTGTTTTGTTTTGTTATTCGGACTTTGCTACTGCATTTTGAACAGTTTCCTAAGATGGTATTGTTGGCAAAAGACGTCAACTTTTGCTATGTATCAGGAGGTATTCTGTGATCAGATAAACTTAAGAAACACAGTTTAACATATCCTTAGTTTTCATTAGTGTGTCAAAGGTTCTGAGAGGCTGTTCTGGGAAGTAATTTGTTTAGCTTTGTTTACACTAGTATCCACCCATCGAGCTATCCAGCCATCCAGCCAGCCAGCCCTAGGAGTTGCTGATTCATTAGGTTTGGGGAGGAGCCTGAACATTGCCATTTGGAATAGGTTTCCACGTGATGCTGGTATTGGTCTAGGCAGGGAACATGGCGTGAACACCATGGATGTAAATAGCGTCTGTGTCCTAATGACCTTTCGCTGGGGCGGGCTCTTCACAGACAGGTGGACAGCTTGAAGCAGAGAATTGCCGGGAAGTCCATCCCTACAGAGAAGTTTGCCGTGAGGAAGTCTCGCCGTTACTCCGCCTCGTTGCCTGCACCTGTGAAGCTCGTCTTGCCTGCCCTGGTATCTGCCTTTATTTTATTTATTGTGTGTGCTCTAGAAGTTAATGGTCTATTCCTAGCAGCAGGAGGCACGCCTAGCTTTTGTTGTGAAGTTTAGCTCCATTGAAAACCATTGTAAGTGTTGTCTGTAAGGGGAACTTTCATAATTAAATAATGAATATTACAGCTGATGTTTTTTTGACAAGTTGGTATGATTGACCCATTATGATAAAAACTATTTAAAAATATATATCTTTTGATTCTTGATGACTCTGTGAGGATAGATTCTCTTTGTAGCCCATTTTATAGATAAGGAAATCCAGGCAGAGTGGGGTGAGTTGACTTAATTCAGTGGCTCTTAACTTTCCTAATGCCGCGACCCTTTAATACAGTTCCTAATATTGTGGTGACCCCCAATTTCATTATTATTTTCGTTGCTACTTCATAACTGTAATTTTGCTACTGTTATGAATCATAATGTAAATATCTGATATGCAAGGATGTATTTTCATTGTTACAAATTGAACATAATT